GGCCCCCCCCCTCTATATCTCAGCTATCAGTCGTCCGATCTTTGCCAAATTTCTATCGGTATGAATAATCAATAATATGACCAGTTCTTCAAAGACAAACATCATTTCAGACATGTGTCGTGCATTTTTATTGGAATGAATAGTGGTCAGTTTTTTATTAAATCATATTAGGCATTTTTTCACAGGAAAACTGACCTCATAATATTGTTCTTCATGGTTTCAAACCCACATATGTGGATTTTCATAAGATGCCTTTGAAGGGTTTCAGAGAAACAGGCAAATCCAAACAGCATTTTTGCGATCGTAATAATTATTTAATTGGTTCAACATAAAAAAGCATAACTCGTTTTTCCTTCCAAATCATCATTTTCCACCTACCGGAGCCATTGAACGTTCCAAAATTCGTAGTTGATTCGAAGTTACTATTTATTCGAGCCTGAAAATGAAAAAAATGAAGCCAATCCTGTTAATTCGGAATTAGGTGATTTTCTGCTATCATCCCTTCACTAGCAATACCAATCAGACGAACTAGACAAGCCCAGTCAGCACATCCTTTCGTTGTCAACCTCGAAAGATGTCGAACAGCACTTTATCAAGACTCCTTCATCCATAGAACGGCTAGGCTCTGGAATTCATTGCCTGTGGAAGTGTTCCCAACAACATATAATCTCAAAAATAATTCCAATACCTACCTCCTGTCCCTATCCTCCCTAGGAACGCACGATGTTCTTTGAACATTATAGGGATTCCCTCTCGTGCGCTCCAAGCGATAAAAAAAAAATATGAGGTTAGATTTCCTGTAAAAAAATGCCTTATATGATTTTATGAAAAATCGCCCCTTCTTAGTTCAATAAAAATGCACGGCACTGTCCAAAATGATGTGCATCTCTGTAAAACTGATCATATTGATGGTTATTCATACCTAATTCATACCACACCAAATTTGGTTAGAATCGCTTGACTAATACCTGAGATTCCTTTTGAACGGAGACAATAGCATTGCTTCCTGTTCAGTTGATATTGATAGAACATTGTATTCACTACTAAAATCTGAAAATGAAAATGGTAAATTCAAGATTAATTAATGGAAACATCCTGTAACTCATTTGATTGCCAACGTCACCAATTGTCACTGAGAACTGAAAAGTGTCAAGATAAATACGAATTTTACTATTCAAATCGTCCAAAGCTTATTGAAAATTTGATATTTTTTCAATATACCTTTATTTCTCTTCCCGAGACCTTTCTCAATACAAATTGTCACTGAAAATCTAGCGAATTTTTCTTTAAGGTTCCCTGATAGGAAAATTCCTCAAACGCGTGACATTTTGAGGCAAATCATCTGATTTGATGTCTTTACTACACGAATATTGAAATAATATTCATATTTTTATTTTATAGAAACGAGGAGAGAAAATCCCAAAGAACCAAGTAAAATGAATGTACCACCTCCTCGATTAACCTACAGACAGTTTTTATATATAGGTCATTCATCAAACATTTGTTTATGGCTGGTTGTCATGATTTCAAAAGTAAGGTTCCGTTATTGTCGCTGGAATAATGACAAAATCACGCGGATTGTCGGATTTTCATATATAAATTAAATTGTCACTTATAATATCACGAGAGCTTCAATTATTTCCAGAAATGTTTTCGAGAACACGAATATTTTGAAAATTCCCCCGAGTCGTGTTTGAAAAAAAAATCCCGGATATTAATTGAAGCTACAGTGGAAGTCGGTAATAAAATTTCACACCAACGTTTTCGATCAATTTAAAGGAATTTCGACAACACTTAGATGATTTAGTTGAAAATGATTGTTGTTTGCGATGAAATGTAAGAACTAACGTATAGTAACATAGAACGGCTAGGCTCTGGAATTCATTGCCTGTGGAAGTATTCCCAACAACATAATATAGTCTCCAGAAGTTCAAAAAAAATTCCAATACCTACCTCCTGTCCCTATATCCTCCTTAGGAACGCACGATGTTCTTTGAACATTACAGGGACTCCCTTTCGTACGCTCCAAGCGTTAAAAACAAATGTGTCATTGTAAATTTCGAATTCGCAAGTATACCTTCATAATATTATATGGTGAACTGTTAATAAATGATTTTTATTTATTGACTTATAGAAACTCGATAATTATATAATCTGGAGTTAAATGTAAATGTCATTTAACCTATAAACGTCAAAATATTTCCAGTGTAATTTCATGCTCCCCAAGGAGGAGGAAGAACTTTCCAAGAAATGTGTTTAGTTGCTATGGTAACCATAGGAAATACAGTCTTTAAATTGATCGAACATGTTTGGTGTGAAATTTTCAGTTCATTTGAATATTGCTTCATGAATATAGGAGAGAGGGATTTCTGTGGTTGGAGTTTTTTTTTCTTTATTTCAAGATTTTTATTTTCACTGTGTGTCTGTTTATCTATAGGTGACAACTTCAGAGGGGTCGAAAATTAGACAAGTCAGAATTTCGAAATGTTCACAAATCATTTTCTCATTTCATTTGGAATCAGGTTGGGAATTCCGAAATATTTATTTACCTAACAAGTGCGGAAAGTAGTACTTTTCCATAAGAGTAAGGTACAAAATTCAAACATACGAGTGTTTTTGTCCATATTACTTATGAAAAAAAAGGTATTTGATAAACAATAGTTCATAATGATGCTACAAAATGACACATAAGACAAAATAATTACATGGATCATTTAGTTAATCCTAAATATCCTTATTTTCAACAATACAAAAATCGTGCGGAAAAGTAACTTCGCAGCACTAGTACGGTAAAGTAACCATTCTGCACGATATTTTCATGCACTAAAAAATAATGAAATAGATTTTCATCTCATCGATATAATAGGAAACTCATTTGAAGAACATTCAAATAACAATAACTAAAACATCAACGATGGTAAATATTGAAATTGAAAGTGCAATTTGTGTTTGTTGCATGCGAATTTGATTGGTTAGTGTTTGCATCAATTATTTCTGGGGGAAGATCTTGAAAGTTTCCTGAGTTGTCCATTTTTATTTGAAATTACGTACACGGAAAAATGGAATCGTGCGGAAAAGTAGAAGTAATGCGGAAAAGTAAAAATAATGCGGAAAAGTAAAATCGTACGGAAAAGTACAACTTTCAAAACGAAAAATCATGAGGAAAAGTTAATTTTCCGCACGCTCGTAGAAAAAATTCTTACAGCACGTATGTGCGTAGTCTTGAATCTTTCGTTTGATAGCAAAATCATTCTAAATGAATTCAGCTTTCACAATGACCAGATGGACAATTAGAATGAAATTAAAAAGGTGACATCAGAGGCGTACCAATTATTTTCCAGAGGGGTCAAAAATGGAAAAATTCTGAATCAATTAGAATTAATTGAAGAAGTTGACATCAGAGGCGTACAAAATGTTTTCCAATGGGTCAAAAATGTAAAAAATCGAAATCAAAATGAAATCAGAATGATGACGTCAGAGGCATACCAAGTGGTTTCCAGAGGGGTCAAAAATAGGAAAAATCCAAATCAATTGAAATGAAATTGAAATAGGTACATCAGAGTATCAAATTTTTTTTCAGAGGGGTCAAAAATTAAAAAAGTCGAAATCTATTAGAATGATATAGAACCAAGGTGACACCGGAAGTTTCTCAGAAAAGTAATGAATGAAAAAAATAATCAATCAGAATGAAATCTAAAAGATGACATCAGAGGCGTACCTAATTTTTTCCAGAGGAGTCAAAAATGAAAAATTCGAAATCAATTAAAATGAAATAAAAACGGTGACATCAAGGGCGTACCAAGGTCTTTCCAAAGTGGTCAAAAATGGAGAAACTAGACTGAAAAAAGTATAAATTCATCAGGATGAAATGTAAAACGTGGTGTCAAAGGCGTACCAAAATGTTTTGCAGAGGGTCATTATTTGAAAAAGTCGTAATCAATCAGAATGGAATGAAAAAGGTGACATCAGAGGCCTACAAGTGTTTCGATAGTGATCAAAAATAAAGAAACTCGAAATTAATCAAAATGAAATTAAAAAGGTGGCATCAGAGGCGTACAATTTTTTTTACATAGGGTCATAAATATAAGAAGTCGATATCAATTAGGATGAAATCGAAAATGTTACTTCAGAGGCGTACCAAAATGTTTTCAGGGAAGACAAAAATTGAAAAAGTCGTAATCAATTAGAATGAAATGAAAAAAGTGACATCAGAGGCGTACCAAGGTTTTACCAGAGTGGTCAAAAATGAAGAAACTAGAAATTAATCGAAATAAAATGACATCAGAGGCATACCATATTTTTTCCAGAGGGCCAAAACTGAAAAAAGTATAAATTCATCAGGATGAAATGTAAAACGTGGTGTCAAAGGCGTACCAAAATGTTTTGCAGTGGTCAAAAATTAAAGTAGTCGTTATCAATTCGAATGGAATAAAAAATGTGACACCACAGGCGCACCAAGGTTATCCAGAGTGGTCAAAAATAGAGAAACTCGAAATTAATCGAAAGAGGTGACATCAGAGGTGTACCAAATTTTTTCCAGAGGGACAAAAATCGAAGAAGTCGAAATCAACTAAAATGAAATCAAAAAGGTGACGTCAGAGGCATACCAAAATATTTCGCAGAGGGGTCAAAAATTGAAAAAGTCGTAATCAATTAGAATGGAATAAAATGGTGACATCAAAGGCGTATCGAAGTTTTTCCAGAGGGGTCAAGAATGAATCAACTCGAAATCAAATTGAAATAGAGAAGGTAACATCAGATGCGTACCAAAGTTTTTCCAGAGGGGTCAAAAATGAAAAACTGGAAATCAAATTGAAATAAAAAAGGTGACATCAGAAGTTTTTCCAGAGTGGTTGGAAATGAAAAACTTGAAATCAAATTGAAATGAAAGACGTTATATCAGATGCATACCAAATTTTTTCTAGTAGGGTCAAAAATGAAAAAAATTCAGAATTTCCCAAATCAACCTCCATTAATGTATTCTCTATTTTCTTTTCAAGGTCCACCTGTACTTCAGCGCCCTGCCCGAGGACAAGGTCCCCTACGTGAACTCGGCCGGGGAACGGTACCGCGTGCGTCAATTGCTGCAGCAGCTGCCGCCGCACGACAACGAGGTGCGCTACTGCCATGCGCTTTCGGACGAGGAGCGCAAAGAACTGCGGTTGTTCTCTGGACAGAGGAAAAGGGAGGCACTGGGCAGGGGGGCAGTAAGGCAGCTGCCCGCCCCCGTGCACTGCGATGCGGTGAGTTTTTTTGTTTTATGTTCTGGCTCCCACGAAGAGGGATATCCTGTTGGCTCTGTAGCAGAAAAGCGTCAGTCAAAATAGCGCTTCAAAAATAGCGCTGCGACAAAATAGCGCTGGACAAAACAGCGACATGACATAACAATTAGGAGGTGATTACGTTCAAGTGTTTAATACCCTAAAAACCTTAGATGCTGAACTGAAGCCTGAAACTATACTTGTTGATTTTGAACAATCGTCTATCAATGCAGTGAAAAAATTATTCTCCAACACGCGTATTGTCGGTTGTTCGTTTCATCTGGCGCAGAACTTATGGAGGAGAATACAAAATTTTCAATTAACAAACCTATACAAAAACAACGGAAACATAAGAACAAAATGTAAGATGCTTCTTGCTCTCAGTTATATTCCAGAAAAATATGTGCAGTTCGCACTGGAAATTATTCGTGAACACTTTCCTGATGAACTAATGCCGGTGATCGACTATTGGGAAGATAATTACGTTGGTAAGAGGATTCAGTATAAATTTATGGAATCAATATGAGCGGCTGAAAAACGATTTGCCAAAAACAAATAATTCCCTTGGAGCATGGCACAATTCCTTACAAAAAGGTCTAAACTGCCAGCATCCTCATGTATACAAATTGATCAATCAATTGAAAAAGGTACAAAAGTCTCCAGAAATCTTCGTTACAAGATACCGTTCAGGATTTAGAAAAAAAGAAAGTCCTAACAATAAATACGTCCAGCTAAAAAACAGGTTGAAAACCTTGGTTCAAACGTATGCTTTCAATAACGTTGAACAGTATTTACAGTCTGTGGCTCATAATTTGTCCATGTAATTTGTTTTGTAATTGTTAAAAACTTGGCTTTGTATTAAAATTGATTTCGAAAACTTGATTTTTCAATCACGTCCTATTCCAATAGTTGATTTTCTAAGAATATTTCACCCGGCGTTATTTAGTCGCAGTGCTATTTGAACCGACGCCATTTTGTCCGCCGCTGTTTTCGTTCTGCGATATTTTTGTGCGGCGCTATTTTGTCCAGCGCTATTTTGACTAACGCTATTTTAACCTAGCGCTATTTCGTAGCGCTATTTTGTCCAGCGCTATTTCGACTGACGCTATTCTGCTACAGAGCCATCCTGTTATGTTCAGAGAACATTGTGAGAATCAAGGGAATAAGGTAGGAATTGGTGTTCTTTTTAAATTTCTGGAGGTTATATGCCTCGGGGAACAACTCCCTTGGCAATGTGTTCTAGAGCCTCGCTGCTCGTTGAATGAACGAGTCTTTGGAAAGAGATGTTCTGCAGGTCTCCAAAGTGACCACGAAGGGGTGCGAAGTCTCAACTCGACGGGTTAATATTCCAGAAAAGCATATCGTCCTATCTATACATATATCTATAAAAAAGAGCCAGATAGTCAACTTTTCAACGGTGTTCCAGAGAAGTGAGTGAGTTTGTGTGCGAGGCATCACCCACGAGACGAATTGCCCTTTCTTAGACATAATCCAACAGTTTCAGGGTATGTTTGGGTGCTGCACTCCAAATATGGGAACAGAATTCCAGGACAGGTCGGATATGTGCCGCGTTTTATAATGATGATCCGATTCTGTTCAAATTTGGTATCTAGGGGTTTCCGGAGTCGGAAATTACAATTTTTTTATCAAAATTGGAAAATTCAAGATGACGAATCCAATATAGCAGTCGAGTTTTGTAATTAGGATCAGATTCTATCCAAAATTGGCATCTGGAGGTTCTCAGGGTCGAAAATTTTGATTCATTCATCAAAATTGGGAGATTCAAGTTTGCGGATCCCATATATAGCGGCTAAGTTTTGTATTTATCGGCCGATGCTATTCAAAATTTGTATCGGAGTCGGAGATTTCGATTTAAGGAATCTAAGAAATTTTGAGGAAATCCAAGGAATTTTAAAGAAATCCAAATAAATCCAAGGAAATCCAAGTAATTCCAGGAAGATCCAAGAATTCTAAGGCAATCCAAGAAATTCTAGCTATCTGTAGAACTGGAACATGTTGCACTTCATCCAAGGAACTCCAGGGGATTCCAAAGAAATCCAAGGAATCCCAAGGAAATCCAAAGAATGTCAAGGAATTTCAAGGAAACCCAGGGTATTCCAAGGAATTTCAGTTGTTTTTATGCCAGAATTCTGACGCAGTTTTCAATCCTTCGAATGAGTTCTAACATAGCTTCGCATGTCCAGAGACACAGCAGTGCCTTGCCCCAAGTACTCGCATGTATAGTCACAACGTCGAATTAAATTGAAACTTCGCACACGTATCAATCAAGGACTGATAGCAATTACATAATTTGACAGTCTTGTTTCATCATCCTGATCAGGATCTTCAGGATGAGCGTTCTTTTATCTCCGATGAAATGCTGAAGGCGGTTCCGCCCCCAAAACTTTGAAATGTTCCTTCACCAAAAATTGTAATGTGTTTCCACTGGCTCATTGACTACAATTTCCAACTTTGCCTCACGGTATTCAACCCCGAACTGCGACATCATATTATAACTTGCTCTAAACTCTTTTCCACAAAAAATTCATCATTTTCAGTTCAGTGACCGATTATTTCTCATTCCCCGTGGAATCTTAAATCTGCCAAAGATGGAACGGAAAAGAACGTTTGGAGCTTAATGACTGGAATTAAGGGCCAAGTCATTTCAACTAGTGCATTAGCTCTGAAGTGTCTTTATAAAGATTTTAATGAACGGGGGATGTTCTATAAGAAAGGGTGGCTGATGTGCACTTTAAAATATTAGTGCTATCAAGGAATCGGCAAACAGTCGAAGTTTTTATGCTCATTACAGATAAAATCTCGGATAATAATACCGAGTACATTATGGATAATGGAAAATGTGGTTGAAATATATTGAAACATAGTTGGAAATATTGATACACTTGCTTAGAAGATTGATTCAAACCTTCTGTCTCTGATGATTTCGATTCACACCTGTCATGTTAGAATATGTCAAATGATGTCCTCCTGTATACAGTGTGTCCCACTTACCATGCTCACCATGGGTATCTTTTTAACGGTGAGAGATACGAGAGATACGAGGTCGGTTAAATGACACCAAATGTTTTATACGCAAAACACAGATTTTGATCATTTTCATGTCTCCTCCGTAACTTCTTTTTTCATGAAAATATTCAAATAGTAATTTCACATTCTCATGGCAGTTCTTCAAAGTGATTTCGAAAAAAATATGGCATTTGTACCAACTCTTCTAGAATTTGAGATATCAGCACCAACTTTAGTTTTTCAAATGTAGGTCAAAGCTCACTAAGACTTAGTTACAAATAACTTTTATTCTCTCTTACAGATGATATGTCGCAATAATAGTTTTGTGTTGATATAACAACGGAGTTATCGTCATTTATACGAAAACAAAAAATTATTTGGAAGCCGCCATCTTGAATTTATAAATTTTAACAAAAAAATCATGATCTTCGACCTCAAAAACCCCTACTCACCAATTTCGAATAGAATCGGACCAAATCTTGTCCGCCATCTTGGAGCAGCCATTTTTTTAATTTCAACAAAAATTCCATAATGTATTGTCACCGAAATTATGAACACCTACCAAATTCAAGGTAATCGGAGTTATGGAATTTTTGTTGAAATTAAAAAAAATGGCTGCTCCAAGATGGCGGACAAGATTTGGTCCGATTCGGCTCAAAATTGGTAAGTGGGGGTTTTTGAGGTCGGAGATCATGATTTTTTCGTTGAAATTCATAGATTCAAGATGGCGGCTCCCAAATAATTTTTTGTTTTTGTATAAATGACGATAACTCCGTTGTTATCAACTCAAAACTATTACTGCGACATATCATCTGTGAGAGAAAAAAAAGTTATTTGTAACTAAGTCATAGTGAGCTATGTCCTACATTTGAAATACTAAAGTTGGTGCTGGTATCTCAAATTCTAGAAGAGTTGGTATAGATGCCATATTTTTTTCGAAATCACTATGAAAAACTGCCATGAGAATGTGAAATTACTATTTGAATATTTTCATAAATAAAGAAGTTACGGAGGAGACATGAAAATGATCAAAATCTGTTTTTTGCGTATAAAACAAAAACGAATAGATTTTATCGAAATATGTTTTCACATTATAGTTGGCCTTGACAAACTCCACATTTGGTGTCATTTAACCGACCTCGTATCTCTCACCGTTAAAAAGATACCCATGGTGAGCATGGTAAGTGGGACACACTGTATAATCTCGTATATAATTTTCAAATTGTTGCTTCATCTCTTTGGGAAACCAACAGTGTTTCAGAAGCAATCGAGGAAGTATAAAAGCGCCGCTTCGAATATTGAAAAATTCTGAATACTTTCGATTTTTCTTTGGAAATAACCGCGAATATACGCGTTTTCATGCTAATTTTTTTATTAGATACTATATTTGAATAGATGTAACAAAATAAATTACATGCATCTTCATGGCTATACTATTTCTGTTTTAGAAGTGGGTTTTTTCAGATTTTTGAACCGACGTTTCGTCATTGACCTGTCATCATCAACTTTTAAGAGTTTTGAATCTCCTAAAATCAACTGTGAATCAGCACTTATTTACAGTTGCAACTGTGAAATAGGCAAATGTTCGTGAAAAAAAATGTTTTTTTATAGAATGGCAGTTCAGACGCGTCGTACATTGGAGAAAATGGTTACCGGAATCCTGTAGAAAACCTGTTTTTTTGTGGATCGGGCAATTTTGAAGGTGATCTCTAAATCTCGTATATCGACGATAACTCACAGACAGCGTGCAAAAAAGTGTCGGGTCTATCATATCGCGCGAAATAAATCGTCTATCACGTTTCGAGAAGCCTCCTTCCGGAAATTCAATATATTTTCAATGTACTTTCGTTTCCCGAGTGTCGCATATGGTGCAAGACGGGCGAAAATAAGTTGAGGGGATTTATGAGCGACCCTGTCACATGAAAAAAAAACGGACTGCATTTACGAACGGTTTA